GTGTATTTGGGTCGAGCTCGCAAAAAGCTTTGCAATGATATATTATAAGCGCACTTCCAATGAATAATGAGGAAGTTATGGTCCAAATACTAAATTGGGTCTTAAATAGTTTTATGGTCCAATGATCTAGTGGAGGGCCCATTAATTATCATTCCTAAAATTATTATGATTGATTATAGTCTTCTAGAATAGTCTAGAAGGTTATTCTGATTTCTAATGGCATTAGGATTGATAATTATTCTTTTAGAAAAAATAATGAATTTGATTTGAAATAAAACAAGTGTTTTATTATGATAAAATCTGATTCAAAATTAATTAAAACGGAGTTTTAATTGATTAATTATATTAAGAAGAGGATTCCGTACAAAGTGCATTTTATCTTTTAACCAGCGCCAAATGATAGAGCTTGTCGCCATGCGTGATCCTTGTGCGCTGGGCTCTGTCGTTGGCGACAAGGGTCAGTTTTATTCCGATTCAAATTCTGATTTGTTTCTATCGATTCCAGACTATTTTCTTATAAATAGGGGTTGCATTTCCCTGTTTTTTTTTCATTCACAATCACCATCTCTATTCTCTAAAAGCTAGAAGCTTATTCTTATCCCTCTTTCTAAACCTTCCCCCTTTTACAAAATTCCTCATTAACAAGTTCTAGACACACCTAGCCAAGCTCGAAGTTGCCTTCGCCCTAGACGTGGAAGGTTAACTGAGGGTTTGGTCCCAAATTCCTATTTCAATTATTTAATTTAATTGTTTGATTTATTATTTTCCTTGAAGTTACTAACGTGTGTATTTTGTTATTAGAAAGAGATATGAGGCATACAAGTAAGTAATTAATTAGTTTGTTATTCTTTTGATATAGAAAGCATGCTTAGATTATTTAAATTCCTAGTATAATGTTAAGATGTTGTTTATTGCTTTCTAGTATCATGTTTAGGGCGCTTCTTATTATTTTATTTCTTTCTAATATCATGTTAGGGATAAAAGCTTTGATCTTTAGTGTTTAATGACATTCTATGATTTGTTATTAATCTTGTTAGTATCATGTCTAGGATCTTGCTAATATTATTATGCTTTATTGAATATTATGATGATGATTTGTTATGTTGCTATATATTATTGTTATTATTGTTTGATCACGTCTTTCTTGCATGTTTAAAGGGAATTTGTACTTGTAATCACACTTAATAAGATAATTAATAATTCTGTGTTAGGTTAATATGATTATAATTCTAGTGATCGCCAATAATAAATTTGTTTGTGCACTAATATTCAATCAACATAGATAAACAGGTTTAGGATTAATATATTGATTGTATGTTAGTCAGAAAGCGCACATGAATATGAGAAGAATAAAGTCGAGGCCTATTTTTAGGGCAAGTTCAATCTCTTTTAGGTTGGATTTGTACCTTCATCCCCAAATATCCAGTCAAGATTTCGGACCACTATGGAGTTAGCGATCTCATGGATCGTGAAAGGGTGTAACCTTCACCTTGTGAACAGTTTACAAGTTCCTAAAACTTGTTGGCGACTCTTTTACTCTAGCTTCCTTCCCTTTGAACGCCATCATACTTAGGTGTATGATCACAGTGGGGCTGAAGTGTGGGATGCTTGAAATATTTCCTACAGTAGGATTCAACAGATATGGATTTAGATCCAAGGTGCAAAAACGGATCTGGATTTGGCTCCAGTCGGATCTGGTTAAGATCTCACCCGTTGCCATCCCTACCCGACACCCAGCCATCCCAAAAACCACTTGGCCGGCCCAAAATCACCCCCCCCCCCCCAAAACTACCCCCATACTATTCCCCGACCCTCAAAACCACCCCCTCCATCTTCCACGACCGCCAAAACAACCCCTCCTCCTTTCCCCTAAAGCCGAAATGGCCGATTTTGATGGTGGGGGAAAGGAATGGGGGTTGTTTTGTGGGTCGGGGAAAAGGAGGTGGTGGTTATGGGGTCGAAGAACAGTGAGAAGGGTGGTTTAATTTCGGGGGTGATTTTGGGATGATCGGATGGTTTCCGAGCTGGGTGAGTGTCGGCCAGTCATTTTAGGGGGTTATGAGGATAGGCCGCTGGCAGGGAATAGGGAGGGGGATGGGTGGCTAGGGTTACGGGGTGGTGGGAGGGTGGTTGGGTGGATTTTGGGGGTTTTTTTATTTTTTTTGTTTATTTAATTTTTTTTTATTTGTTTTTCTAATTTTCTGATTTTTTTATTAATCTTTTTTTTTTTGAAATTTTTCTAATTATCTGAATTTTTTTGTTTATTTTCTGATTTATTTTATTATTTTTTGTTTAATTTTAATTTTTGTTATTTTTAAAAAAAATATTTTATTTTTTTTTAATTTTTTGATTTTTTTTTTGTATTTTCTGATTTTTTTAATGAAAATTTCTATTTTTTATTTTTTATTTTGGACCCATCGTATGTTAACACACAGCATATGACCTGTTATCACATGTTGTTGACCCGTAGTTGACCGGATGGGTATAGTGAAAGAAAAAATAAGAAGCAAAGTTGGGACTGTTAGAAAACAATCCTAACTTGGGATTCTAAGGATTATTTTAGGTAAATCGCCAATAGTTAGAATGATTAAAGTGTATTTTTCCTTTAATTTATTCTTTTTGTTTTTTGTTGGGTGTGTTGTATCTCATCACATGCCCCAAGTGCCTTTGATATTTTTTTTTTTATTTATTCTTTTTGTTTTTTGCTATAGTAAGTTTGTTTGAACAAGATAATGTTACATTTTATTGTTTTATCAAAATACCAAACATGTCATATTAGTATGATGTGATAAACTTTGATTTTTTTAGCAATTATTCTTCTTTATATTGATACATGGATAGTTATTATGACATTATTATAGGTATATATTTTTATTCTTTTTGTTTTTTGCTGGGTGTGTAGTATGTCATCACATGTTCCAAGTGCCTTTTTTATTTTATTTTTTAAAAAAAAATCTATATTGGGTTTGGTTGAGAAGGGTAATGCTACAGTTTATGTTTTATCAAAATAAAAAATATGATCTACTAATATGATGTGATAAACTTTATTTTTTTTATTGGAAGTATTCTCCTTTATATTATTACATGAATAGTTATTATGACATTATAGGTATTTTTTTATTTCTACTTTTTGTTTTTTTGCTGGGTGTGTTGTATCTCATCACGTGCTCCAAGTGCCTTTGCTATTTTTTTATTTATTCTTTGTGTTTTTTGCTATAGTGAGTTTGGTTGAAAAGGGTAAATAGGTGCACAACGTGTTGTGCTGGGCCGTCGCGAGTTATGCCTCGCCGTGCCTGGTGGTGGCTCGTGCCGTGTCGGGCCACCATTTAGCACACCCATGCCCACAGCATGGCCCACGTGAATGTATGGAAGGGTATTGTTCAAATTGTTGATACCCTTAAGAAAGGAGTGAGTATGGCAGTTGGGATAGGCAAAGATACTCTATTTTAGAGGCAAAAGTGGGTGACTAAGGACTCTCTTCTAGCTCTAGCCCCGATTGACCCCCCTCAAGAGTTATTAGACTTCACTGTGAAGAATATGTGGGATGTGAAATCAGGGTAGAAATATGAGATTTTTGCTGACTATCTTCCAAGTAGTGTGCTAAGTGAGATTGCGGCTCATGAACTAGTAGATGAGGAGGATGCGATTGATGAAATTTTTTGGCAGGGTACTCCTTCGTGTGGCTTCTCCATTGCCTCTGCCATTAATATAGTGTGCAATAGAGACACACCAAGTGTGCAGCAGGTTCATAATTGGAAATTAATTTGGCAAGCCAAGGTACCTTAGCGTATCAAGATATTCTTGTGGTTATCAATTCAAGATAGACTTATGACAAATGTTAATCTATTTATCAGGAAAATTGCTAATGACCCTCGGTGTATGGCTTGTGGTGGTGATGAGGAAACTACTGAGCATAACTTAAGGATTTGCCCTGCTGCTCGATTAGTTGGCGCAAGATAGGATGGTCTGAGACAAGATTAATGAGAGAAGGAAGTCTGTAGGACTGGATTTTGTCAAATTTGGAATCAGATGACTTTTTGTTTGGGGATAGAGGACCTTTTGTGTTTGCAGTGACCCTTTGGAGGATTTGGCGATGGCGGAATGATAGATGCTTTCCAAGAACAGCGAATATCCCTTTAGATCAAGCAGGTTTTATTCGGGCCGGAGTTGGAGAAATTAGCAAAGCCTTGGAAAGTTCCTTAATTCGTTGTGAACGTGGGAAGCGAGCTAGGGAAGAGAGATTTATCAGGTGGAATTATCCGAGAGAAGGATGGGTGGCTTTGCACACTGATGGTGCATTGAAAGGTGTGGCATAATTCGTGGCGGCAATGGTGAGATTTTTGAGGTGTTTGCTAATAATTGTGGTACTTGCTTGTGTCCAAGGGCTAAGATTTTGGGTGTTCTTTGAGGCCTTGCCATTGTGTGGAATGGAAATCATAAGTGAGTCCAGCTTATGGTGGATTCAGAAGTGGTAGTGCGGCTTTTGTTGGAGGAGTGTCCCTCCAACTCTCGTTTTATTCACATTATCCGCAAGTGCAGATCGCTTCTTGCTTGTCACGGGTGGGAGTTAGCTGTTGAACATTGCTATCGCGAGGCTAACCGAGCGGCGGATTGGTTAGAAAACTTTGACTTGTCAGAGAAACTAGTGTTCTTTGAGACGATCCCTAGGGATCTTAGGGCTATTTTATTGGAGGATTTTGTTGGGGGGGGGGGGTAGCTCGTTCAAGGCTAACACTAATTGCCGCAACTGGACAACCTTGAATGGATGTTGTTAGCTTGTTTGTTTTTGTTTTGTGTTTCTTTGTTTGGTGTGCTTGTTTTTTCTTTTGTTGCTTTTTTAGTTTCGGTTTGATTTGCTTTGTATGGAGCTTGCCCCTCTCCTTCACCAAAAAAAACAAAAACAAAAAAATTGAATAAGAGGAAGTAGGAAGTATAATAGCACATAATTATCTATATCTCGATAGATATTTATTTCAAATCAAATCAAATCAAGCACATAATTATCTATACTACTCGCCACTCGATATATATTTATTTCAAATCAAATCAAATCAAAACATGAAATTCCTTTTACATCTTAGAAGAGAGTGCCTGTTTTTACATATGCAATACAATGTCAACCTTGCACGTGGCATTCTATAGATAGCCTAACAAGACATTTATTTACTGGCATAATAATTGAACTGGTGATAATAACTAGAAGCCATCTTAGTTGAGCTCATGGCAATTTAATTGGATGAATATTCCATATATCCTTAGCATATTCATGTATTGTTCGGTCGCTGCTAAACTTGAATGAACCAGCTGTATTTAGTATTGACATTCTTGTCCATCTCTGCACATTACCATCAAACAGAACAGAGAGAATATCAGATTCATGACCATTATAGCAATTGAATGAATGTACAGCCGCTAGCTTTTGTGGGCAACGGAGCCATGTCATATGGTGCATAGCGCAGCTATGCGACACACACTCTCTGAGTGTGATAGACACTGTATTCAAGGACCTCTTAAGGATCCTTTCACAAGTCAATAAATAAAAAGCATATGTTTTATGTTCTTTTCTTTTATAACTCTAACAACTCAGGAAGTAAGCATGACTATAATAAACAGATTAGAGTTCCTTACCTGTTGATCTCTATATGCCTCGTCAACTTTTTCTTGGCATTCTATATAACTAGGGAAGTCTTTTCCCACGAGGAAATAATCACCACGGCCATATCCTTCATTTCCCTCCAAAGACTCTAACAGTTCATCATAACTGCTTGAACCAAAAACACCACTTTCAACATACTCCTTGACTTCTTCAAAACGTGGGTCCGGCACAAACTACAAATAGCAGTTGAAAGTATAAAAGTTAGATATGTACAGATTAGTCCTTTAAGACCACAAGGATCATTCTAGTAATACAGAGATTGGGTAGTTCTTTCCACGCTTGCTCAGTAAGCTGTCTAATATGAGGCGATCAAATGTGTATTAAGCACAAAGTAATAAACATTCTACACTCAGATTGTGGCAGCTAGAGAGTAACAATTCATGGAAACTTTTAATTTCCCAGCTTTCAAAATTTCAGGTAGATCAATTCTAACCCAAGAAATACCAGATATGATTAATGCTACAGCAATTAATATATGGCTGATAAAGAGACTTTGAGTAAACGCATGCCGTTTTTCTAAAACATTTTGCAACAAAAAATAAACCATGTAGTGTAAATTGGCTGTAAGTATATCAAAAAAGATCATCAGCAAACTTGATAAGACCATACCTTGCCTTCAGCTCTTTCCTTTCTTAATCCAGCAATCTCATGTGCTTTAGCACCGAATAGGAAGAAGTTATCTTCTCCAACTTCTTCTCTAATCTCAACATTAGCACCATCTAGGGTCCCAATTAATATGCATCCATTCATTGAAAACTTCATATTGCTAGTTCCACTTGCCTCCATCCCAGCAGTGCTGCAGGTTTGGAAAAATCAAGATATCAACCGTATATTTTAAACTTGATCTTGCATATCAACTTTCAGTTTACCACATTTCAGCCATCGAAGTTGAAAATTGTCTTAATTGATATGGGAAGTGATCAGGTTTCTTCACTAGGTCTCAATGTCAAATATTTTGCACAAATGTAAAGTTCTATTAATTTATTGTTAAGCAATGCATAAGTTATTCTACTTGATGGAACTTAACGGCGCCTTTTAAGAAAAGACACCATGTGATATTACGTTCCCCACAAGTTCTGTTATTTTACTAGCACAAGTATACATCAATACATGTTCATAAGATGAAATTTGATGCGCATTTTCTGGGCCAGGACTACACATGCATCCCTATAAATCTATATAAAAATTATATTTGTGCCTTAGTTCGTTTATACTAGTAATACTGCTTATGAACCTGCTGTATGATGGCGAAAAGTAGACAAAGTGAATTCCTTAGTAAAATACATATTATTAAGGTACAGCATTCAACATTTAGCAAGGTTTACATACATGGAGTATGAATTTATTTAATTTGTTATTTTATTCTTTGATTTAAGAGCACATTATCCACCTTAAACCAATATATGAGATTACAAATCGAAATCCATTTCCCGAAATACAGTAACTCACATAGTCAGATCTCATATGTGTACAGTACCAAAGTAGTATAATTAAATCTCCAGTCAACTCCAGTTTTTCTAGCAGCTAGACCTATTGCCTGTGCTGATAGAACACGTTAATTAAGTTCAATAGTTCTAAATCTTCTTTAGGTTCATTCATGAATACAAGGCAAGCCCTACCACGGATGGTCATGACTGTCAGGTGAGGATTTAATTTCTCTGAGGCATGCTCAAGAAGCTTAAAAAAATGCTTTCAGATGATTCTGCTATATTGTCAGCAGTATTGCTTGGAATTGCATGTTGATGAGCAATGGATTCTTGCACATCATCAGTCTCGGCATACTTACATAACTTACAGACAGAATTGACTTAAAATTGTAATTACTCGACAAAGTGATGCTGGGGTTTTTTTTATTGATATATATGATGGTCACAGCTAATTTATATGCAGCTCATGGATCTGCTAGGAGATAGAAATGCAATTTAGCAATAGCAATGACTCCAATGAGGGTTAAGACTTAAGAGACAGATAACCTCTTGCCAAAGAAACAAAAAAGGATGATTAGAAGTGGATAGAGAAAAAAGCAGGAGCAACGGATGTGCAAAGGAGAAAAAACTGGCATATAACGCCAGGCACCAGCTACTTGTATCGGCTCAGGGGCTTGACTTTTCCCATGACAGTAACTGATTGTGGTTGCTACAAGGACACTGGCTTGTTTTGGTGATGATTAGCCATACAATTCAGAGTATGTAGGGTTAACAACTAAGGATACATTAGTAAATTACAAACTAATATATACATAAGATTATTTACATAATCTAACACAGAGCCTCAGAGGAGGTTAATGAGGATCACAAACAAACATAGTAAAAAAAAAAGTGCTTTGTCGTCATGATAAATCATTGCTGTCAAACCACTGACACAGGGAGGTATATGAGAAAACTACGACAATAAACATGACTCCCCCATTGGTGTCATAAGGTGAAAGCAGAGCATTAAAAGAGACTAATTAAATGACTAAGGACGAGCATCATGTACTAAGATCATACCTCTATGATTTGTTATATTTTGGCTACATGGTAGGAATGGTGCCATTTTACTCAATGTTTTAGACAAGATCTATCATTGGCTCGACAGTTACATCAAAAATGACAAATAGTATATAAAATAAACATTTTGTAATCATTGACTTCATTTTAAATATATTTCAGCATGTCCTCTTACAAGTCGTATTGGAAGGATCATATTAGATGGTTGAGCATAACCAGGTACTTCAAGAATATGAGTTGAATTCAAATAGACTATGTGAAACGGGAAATCGAATACCTTATATGCTGGGAAAGCTCACTAGCAGGGATCAACAGCTCAGCCACACTTACGTTGTAATCAGGGACAAATATAACCTGAATGTCAGAAATTAACCAAGATAAAATAAAATTTCTAATTAGAAAAATAAAACAGATATTAAGTTGGCAAAAATCAACCATTACAACTCCTAAATATGTATGAGGATTAATACCCCTTCTGTCCATTCAAAAAAGTGAAATATCAAGTTATGCCATAATTATTAAGGACTAAGGAGACTAATGTGATGAGGAAATAGATAAAGAGAAATGTGAGTCTCTACCCAGGTGGTGAGGTGAGATAGAGAGAAATTGCAAAATAAACAAGGGAAGTGTTTCACTAGTTATAAGTGTGAAGAGGGAGTAACTGATATAGGTCAAAAAATAATATTAGTTTACATTTAAAAAAAAAGAAAAAGAAAAAGAAAAAAAATTAGAGACAGATAGCTACCAATCTGTATTCCTTACTGATTTAAAGATGATATTCCTTGTACACTTAACTGAGCCAATATAATTCTGCTGCGACATTCTCCTTAAGTACCAAGCTGAAGAATTAACAAAGAATTTTGGCAGTCGTCCAAAACACAAGAAATTACACTACACAACTGTAACTATCAATGTGGTTCTGTGGTCTAATGACAGCATAACTAATGGCGCATAGCTAATCTAGTGCTAACTATCTCTTCAAGAATATGCTAGACTGTTATATGCCTGAGAGAAGAATCAGCTAGCAGCCTAGCACATTTTTTTTTTTTTTTTTTTTTTTTGGTAATCAAACTGTGGTATCTTATACTCTATTCTAAGGTCAATGGTGTAACCAGATTTTACTTTTGCATGTACATGGTTCGCAAGACTATAAAGTCTCAGAGAAGTTTAGTATTGCTTAAAAGGATCAGAAAGCTTCAAAAGTCACTGATATAGCTCCAGTACAGAAAGGTTTTACATTTAATTTTATTACAAGGAAAATTTAACACGGACCACTTGTAAGTAATTGTAGCATACTCTGTTAGCTCTAATGTATATATATATGCTGAATATATTCAATACAGCCCCAAGGCAACAGAAGAGATCCTCGACTAAAGAAATTTTAGATGCACTTTTCAGCGCTTCCTCTGATCACATTATCTGATTCTTCAAACTCCCCCTCCCCTCTTCCCCTCTCCATGATACAGACACAGAGAAAAGATAGAAAACTGGAAGTCACAAAATAATAGTACTTTATATAAAAAAATATGCAAGTAACACTACAACATTTGCCAGTGTTATATTGTACAAAAGCATACCTTCAGTAGATCACCAATGTCAGGATCATTATTAATTGCAGCTCCTACATCGGTGATAAATTTCACTATTCTTTTAGCCTGCACATATGTGGCAAACGCTTTTCCTCCAAATATACAAACTCTTGGAACAAAGTTTTCTTTCCTCTCCTCAGCACTCATTTCTTTCATTTTTTTGTAGCGGTATACAATTCCCAATATGTTTAGAAGTTGTCGCTTGTATTCATGAATACGCTTGATCTGAAAATCCAGTTATTGTTATAGTTGCATAAAATTAACAAACTATGTAAATGAGAGAGAACAAGGAGAATTAAGAAACGTCCAGTGTAGAAATCAAAGAACATAGAAGCCTAGAAGAGAGTCGATGGACTATGCTAACAAAGTTGCAAGTTCGAAAATGTCAAATAGGTTCAACACCTTCTGCCTAAAAAAAAAGAATATGACAACTGGTATAATTGTGAACATATTAGAAAACTCTCTCCCTTTTCTTCTCCCCCCCCCCCCCCTCTCCCCAAAAAAAACATCAACACAAACATGAATGAACAGGAACTGAAGACAATGTAGGTAGAGTTGCATGCAATTTTCCAGCTAACATGTATTGGCAACTTTTCTCTTTTCTTCTCTAAGTACATGATCAACCACTTCTATTCTAACTAAAAAAACATATCATTGAAGCAGCATCTTGAAACAATTTGATCTGTTAATGCAAAAGTAAAACGCTACCTGAATATCAAACATTGCATCTGGGCTGACTGTGTAACCTGTTCTCTCTTTAATCAAAGAAACAACCTTCAGTTTGTTGTTCCGCTTTGCTGCCATCCATTCAGTATGAAGATCTTTGTTATCTGCAAACTGCAATCAGTTGCCCAGTATGTTACAGTTAGTTAAGACAAAGATGTTTGAAGCAGAATAAAGTAAACAAAGGCAAAAGACAAAACACTAGTTAAAACAAATAAGCATAGTCTAAACTTTTGCAGCCAGTTGAAGAGATCTGAATGAATCACTATCAGATAGTTTTCATTTATAGCATGCAACAGAGTTAAAATGTCTTATGCAAGAGTGTCAATGCTTATTTATAGTGAAGTAGCAGTCCCTTTTAAGCATGTCCAGTTAGAGACCAGAGAAAATCTCTTTGCAATTACATATGTAAAATAGCATGCATCTGATTCACCTACTACCACTACTATCCCGCATGATCTAATGAATAAACGGGCCTCTTGACCCTTTTGAGGCATTAGGCAATATTAAATGAGATTTTGAGAAAAGAATGAACCCAGCTACTAGAGAGAATGTAACATGGAGAACAGTAATTTATATTTTTTTATTTCCTTTTCTTCATTATTCTGTTCCCCTATTTTTGAAATAAATAGATACCACAAAGAGTACAGTTATATAATTTTGTAGGACATACTCATCCAGAAACCCTTAGAAAGAGTTTAGGAAAGGGAGATTAGACTTTATTGATTAAAAAGAGGGATTAAGAGCAGTGGCGATTCCAGGATTTTTCCATTATGGGTTCTGATTCTCGGAGCTCATTACTTCATTAGATTATCTAGTTGATCGATATATCGATAAATATAACAAGATATACAAAATAAAAGTATGATTGTGTAAAATAAAATACTCCACATGCTTTGACTTTAATGAAAAGGAAAAAATATTCAGTAACAACAGGAAATGAAGCAAAAATAATTATTGAAATTTACAAGGTACTCCGTAGTATATAAGGATAGTTTTACAATGACCACACTAATTTTGTAGCCACTATAATATTTTGATCCATACCGTTAATTACTATTATTAGATCCACACCCTCCTATTCATACTATGGTGTCTTGAATCTTAATTAGATACATACTACCAATAATAATCAGTAATCGTGCAAGAATAATAAAAAAGTAAATACATATTTAATAAATTTAATAAAAAAGTAGAAACAATATAATGAAAGTCAAATGAAGCAACAAAACAATCATAGAAATTAATAGGCGGGTCGTACTATATAAAATGTGCAGTTTTTTTTGGAAAAAAATAAAAAAAGCAAAATGGGTTTGGCATGGGATTAGATCCCGCGTCAACTAGTGAGAGTCTTTCACAAGAGTTCTTGACCGCTGAACCACAGACAATACATAGTACCATTTAGTAGTTGCATATTTATTTATCTTATATTTATTTTATCTCTAAATTACGAATTTTCCCCAAATCCAGTATGGGTTCAGCTGAACCCACTGAACCTATACTGGAATCGCCACTGATTAAGAGTGAGAAATCCATTACATATTTATTTTTGTTTGATTTATGATAGATTATGTGAATAACCCAAATAAAATAAAAAAGCAGATTAATATCAACTTTATCCCTCCTTTGCTCTCTACCTTTAGAGTCAATATTAATATATTATCACTTTGCCTTCACCACTTTGCCTTCATTCCTAACTTCCTCATCCATTTACCAACCCTCCCAGCTTGGAAATATTTGTCAAGAAGGATCTCCCATTTCACAATCCCAACCACCAACATATTCTCAAACCAAATAAGAAAATTTCAATTCCCATTTATACTTGATGTCATATGACTTGGCCTAATGTAGACTCATCATACCTCTTCTAAGGAAATATGGCAGCTAAACCCTCTCCAAACACTTTAAAATAAGGACGAGCAGCACGTAATTTCAAAGACTTGGAAATGCCAGGTATCACACTGCTGTAGGCTAGCTGTTATGGGAGAATGATAAACTCCAAAAACCCTACTACAGACTTGTAGCAGGCTCATTCTAGTTGCAGTGCCAGGGGTTTTGTCCACATATTTTCAAAGGCATAGCCTGTAAATACCCTTATCACAGATATCTCAACAGATACCCTCACTTTGACTGCTTGAAATTATTACAAAAGCCTAGCCATATCCTCATAACTTCCTTTCAGATCACCACTTTTTCTCTCAAAAATTCTAGCCCATTTTGTATATTTCCTTACTTGATTCTCAGAGAGATTTTCCAAACAACTCTCGGTGGAAAGTTCCTCTACCTTGCACTAATCAAGATGCAGCCTGACACAGAGGCTTACTTTATTAAGTCATCCTTTTAAAGATTCTTAAGCTCAAGTTCTAATCACATTCTTGTATTCCTATGAAGCAAATAATCAACTATATATACATCATTGGTTTTATCATGTGGTACCCCTGAGGCCCTGAGGTTTACAAAGGCACCTCTATGTTGTCAAAATTTCACCTGGTACTCTTGAGATTTGCAAATCTTCACTTGATTCCCTTAATGACTAACGAAACCTAACTCCATTATCTCCTCCATCTTCGGTTTGCAAAAATTAATACAGCTTGAACCACAATACATAAGTGAATATGAAACAGATTGTTACCTTTCGCAATTCTGCAAGTTTCTCAGTGTTAAGAACCCATTCTTCAGACCCAATCCATTTTGTTAAGATACTGCTTAGTTCTGGATTGCAAAACCGGATCCATCTTCTTGGAGTCACCCCATTTGTTTTATTCTGAAATTTCTCTGGCCACAACTGAAAGAACTCAAACCTTAATAAATTGTGATACAAAATAGGGAGAAGAAAATGAGAAAAACACGGACAATTTCGTTCGTCATAAAGTGGATTTCCAAAGAAAAGTTGCACAGCTTTATACCAAGTTACAAATCTTACCTCAAAGAAGTCGCGGAAAACTTGTTCCTTCACTATTTGGCTATGAATTTCAGCAACCCCATTTATTGCATGGCCCCCAACTACGCAAAGGTTAGCCATCCGGACCATTTTTGGTGGTTCTGGAACTGGCTCTTCCTCTACCTTCATCTCCACAACATCTTCCTCACTTTCCTTTACAACAACCAGTCCATCTTGTTCACTAGGGATTTCAATTTTTTCATGCTCTTCAGCTTGACAGGTCATTTTTTCCTTGACTAAACTGGCAACTGAACTAGGAAGATCAAAATTCTCTAGTATTCTCAACTCGTTCAACTTTTCTATCAGTAATTCAGGATCATTAGAACCATAATTAGATACGATAGTTTCAACAAGCTGTAAATAGCCAATATATTGTATTAGAACGGACAATGATCGGTCCAAACAGGAAACACAAAACATTTAAAGGTAAATATATGAGATCACCTCCTTATCTATTTTCTCTATGATCTCAACATGTCGAGGAAGCAAGGTTTGCATAAGTTCATAACTCCATTTCTCCAATGCCTCCGGCAAAACGGTATGATTTGTATAGGCAACAGTTCTGTCAAAGAGACAGCGGAACATAAGCTGGGAGGACAAAATACTATGTAATCAAATCCTCAAACTAACAGCACATAAAATCAGTCCAGCTGTACTGCCTCCGACAAACAATAAAAGAAATCACTAGACAAAAATAATTGTACAATTGGGCTAAGTAGTGAGAAACCCTTTTTTTTAGAGGGAGGGAAAGAGGGGGGGGGGGTGGGGGGTTGTGTTACTAAATGAAACTTCCTTAAAAACAAAATCCTGTAGAGAGGACATATTCCCTTGAAACAGGAAACCATCTTTGTTTACTGGAAAAAGTAGGAATTTGCACATGGATCTAAGTCAATGGGTATCGTGAAGGCATAGGTCACACCTAGGAACATCTGTTGGTTATCATTTGCTGCCACTGTGGGTGACAACCATCAAGCCAGATAGGTAAATCACATCTATTATCAAAAGACTAATTTGTGATCTTCTATGCACATAAAAGTGCTAAAGGGATCTGAAAGAATATACATAAGGTCTGCATTGGTTACATTACACAAGTAATCTTAGTAACAATAAGCTCTCATCATGATAAATTGATAATCTATAATTTCTATCTCCAATGGCTTTTCTTGGCTCTCCAATTCTCCTAGTAAAAGAAGGCAGGCGTACCAAAATTTGACACAGAATAAATGCCACTTTTACCTAAATTTGGCATAGAATAAATGCCACTTTAAACCCCCCCCCCCCCCCCGCCAACTCCAACCCCTCTCTCTCAGTCATAGATTCATATGTTAGCTTCCACGCTTGGATATAAAAAAAAAATAAAAAAATAAAAAAGAAGAAGAAGAAGAAAACAAAGCACAGCCTGGTGCTCCTACAGGACAGGGATGATATCAAGACCATTCTGTTGCCATGAATCTGGGATCACCGATGACTTTTTGAAATGAACTGACAACATAAAAGATTTAGGGCTGAGCCATTGACCACAAGGAGCATGTGATACAAGGAAACTCAACAAGTGCAAGCTAGGAATGATTTAACGATTAACAAGGCACTGAAACCTGATATATAGATTTAGAAATTGCAATTTGAAAAGCAATAATTGGAATTATGCATATAATTCCTAAAATATTTGTAAAACTGATACATGATGAAGTGTACTAGTGAATTACACTTGAGTCTTCCTATCTTCTGCGCACTGGAGAGATCCTTCCTAAAATTATATCCACCAATGACTTCATATGCCGAACTAAAATAAAATTACACATATTGTAAAATTGATGAATAAATTATAGTTAAAATATATAATTTTTATCACCACAACTTAAAGCTATTCTGCTCTTCTTAAAAACTCTGGACTCCATCAGTAAGATTGATTATTACTTAAGTCTGACCTTGGAATGTGATTGTTGGGTCCAACTATCACATTATATTTCTGGAATACTGGTAATTTCAAGACATGAGGAAGTAAAATACAGAATTGTATATCTCTTTCCATATGATAACTGCAGAGGGTTGGCATGCTAAAAATATATTCCACAACAGTAAATTAGATTGCCTTTCTCACTATCACTGCCCACCCACTCCCCCAAAAAGCAAGAAAAAAAAAAGAAAGGCATTTCTGTTGTTGTCACTAATGTAAACCATTAGATCGTAGGAAGTACCTTTGGGTTATATTCCAAGATTCCTTCCAGCTAAGTCCTTTTACATCTATTAATATCCTCATTAGCTCGGGTATACACAACGTTGGGTGGGTGTCATTCATCTGCACAGCCACCTTCTCTGGAAAATCTTCCCATTTTACATGTTCCCCTGATCTCCTTTCAAATTGCGAAATAATGTCTTGCAAAGAAGCCGAACATAGAGTGTACTGTTGCTTCAGACGAAGGATCTTTCCTTGCATAGACTCATCCCCAGGGTATAGTACACTACAGATCTGTGAAAAGAGAATTGATAATGCTATTTTAAATCAAGAATCAAAAAAAGAGAAGGACAATAATCCAAGAATTTCAATCCAGAAAGAAACAATATTCACAACTCTTGTGGATGAAGCACAGTGAAAATGCACCCTTTGAAGGCTGAGAATATTGTTTTATGACCCTTCTGAAACACATACTTTACAGTTACAAAAACTTATATAGCTGGATAACAACTCCCTTGTCATGAGTTCTAATTTGGCAACTGAGATGACGAGTAAGATGTAACAGAAAGACAGTTTTTGAACGGAGGTCTGCTACCTCGCTGAAGGAAAGAAAATGTAATGCATATTTGGAGCAAGTAACATACATATAACATATCTGACAAGTTATGGGGTTTTCACCATATGCAGATCAACTAATTTGGTCAAACATATTAAGATACAAGATGAACTCTTATAAAAACCAACCATTTCTGCATTTGCACGAGCCTCATTTGCTTTGGTGTGTTCCCCAGCATTAAAAGCAGACAAATCAAAATCATCTGATGGTACTGTTGTAGACCAAAGTCGAAGATTAATAGTGGTTTTAGTTTGATACCCAGGAATTGGAACATCATGGGCAACAGCCTTGATATCTTCTCCCCCAATCCAGTGACTTCTGTCATCTGATCCAGTAGCCACCTTTCCATAAAATTTTATTGAATAGGATACATCATTTCTCACAAGTTCCCATGGATTAGCAATCTGCAGTAAGATGTGTATACTGAAATATGAATATGCAAAAGATGCCCATAAAAATAATCATCTACTCCGTAATAAACATCTTAATGATTTCTAAAAGAAGATGTAGCAACTATACCTCAAGCCAATTCTCAGCAGATTCTTCTTGGCCATCCTTGGTAATTATTTGCTTGAATAACCCATACTTGTATCTTAGCCCATAACCCCATGCAGGGTAATTCAATGTAGCAAGAGAGTCAAGAAAGCAGGATGCAAGCCTCCCAAGACCCCCATTTCCAAGTGCAGCATCACGTTCCTGTTATGAAGCAGCCAATGTAAACAGCAGCAAGTATGAAACCCAAAAAAAAAAAAAAAAAAAAAAAGAAGAAGAAGAAGAAGAGAGGGGTCAATAATAAAACAGGTACTTGTCATTTCGAGATGGTCAGGTCTGTAAAAAGATTTTGAAATGAAACTACAATGACCCTACATTTGTTATAAGCCACCGCATAAACTTATTCAAGCTTCATCTAAAATTATGGCTTTGCTAGTTTGCCACATTTTTTTCATGTATCAAAGCAATTGCCAGATTTGCCACAGTTTTTAAAAAAATAAATAAATACTTCCTCCGTTCTTTATTACTTGACCCGCTTTGACTTTTACACTATTCACCACCCCTCCTTTGACCGTCTTTTGTGAATAATATGTAAGGAAAAATATATTCATATATGATTTTTTTGATTCGTCTCAATAAGTACTATCATAATACATAACTTTTATAATTTTTACTTATGAAGAATTTAAGTTATTGATCGTTAAAGTTTTGCATTGGCAAGCGTGATAAAAGAAACAGGTCAAGTAAAAAAAAAACAGAGGAAGTACATAGAACCAACAAACTATTTCTGCTCGAAATTATCGATTGCCTGTGGTAATTGTGCTCCATAAGGTCAAAGGTTTGTAAGACAACAGGACAATGTTAATACTAGATTACTTCATGAGAAGTTAAGATTGAAGTGCCAATTGTTATTATGCGCAAGGTATCTTAGATGCAAACAGGCAATTAGGTGTTGACTTAGGGTAGCCTGAAGATCGTGAAACCAGCAGTGCAAGTCCACACATCTGAAAACAGTGTGTATCCGCCATTGGCAATTTAGGCATGGTAGGAGGTCCAAATGAGAGGAAAAATTATTCTTAAGTCACCCTAACCAGTATAAAGGCTGTTTTCGAAAGATAGAGCCCACAATCCTACCCAGCTAACGAAATATAGAATGGAGTCATTTGGTGGTGAAAATTGTCAAACAGGCAAGGATATGGGGAAAAAAGAAGGTTTAAATTCCAACAATGGCCAATAGAAAATTCCAACAATGCAAAATCATCAATAAGAACAACAGTACAGCAGATATAGTACTTCTGAATCTAAAGCATAAAACAAACCTGACTAGCTACAGCTTCCAAATTGTGTCCAAGCTTTTTCAAAGCATCTTCATAGGCATCAGAAAGTTCCAAATTCCCAATAGCGTTCAACAATGCTCTGCCCTACAAACAAGAGAACAATTACTTAATTTTCAAATTGCCATAGACAACATGAATTTTTTTTTATTTCACGACCAACCAGAAAAAGACCAGTAAGAGAACCTGGAGAAACTCCATGGACAAATAATAAGCTTGCTTCATGTTCATCTTCTCGTAAAGGTCATAAGTAGCATTCCAGTTGATTATAAGTGAATCTCTAACACTCTGTGCAGCAGCAAAGAAAGCCTTGGAAAGGGAAAACTCATTGGGAGCAAACAAAGGAGTGAACTCCGCATGGTATTTAATACTTGAGGCTATTGAAGCAGAATCTGGGCTCAAGTTTCTTAACGGGTTCAAATTGCTTGAAGTCCCTGAAAACATGAGTATGAAACAAATAAGTAAAGCCTGAGAAAGAACGAATCAAGCACTTGAGAACTTCCAATGCATACTTCATGTAAGTATAATATTATCGTACTAGTGCCAGTTCTCAAGAACGAATCAAGCACTTGAGAACTGGCGCTAGTACGATAATATTGGATGCTCTTACATTAGTTCATAACAGCATAAATGTCCAGGTTGCGTGCTTGATAATCCAATCGAGTTGGTACGTCAGGACATATTCAAATTGGCCAAAAGGGGAATATTAACAATCCTCCTTACATTATCCACATTATAATAGCTTTGAACACTAACCATTTCCAGATATCTTCAAAAAAAAATCATTTACGGTGATCTGATCTAATACAAGTCCAACTCTCAAAGCAAACTAAAATAAGCTCCTACAGGATGCTCCTGGTGATTGTTCAGTGTTGACATCCTTTTTGTAACTAAGTCACCATAAATTCGCAATTACGTTGAATCACTACATTACTCGTAAACACAAAAGACAGAAAAATAAAAATTGCAACTATGATTTGCATCCTATCTTTTTTTCGTTATACACATGTGAAAAAATAAATAAATAAAACTCTAAAGACACTCTCAAGCAATACATTAGAAATTAGCTACTGCTAAATATACCACCACTAACATACGAACTTTTTTTTTTACAAACCTTTTTTTTTTAAATTTTTATTAAAAACAAACAAACAAAAAACAAAGAAATCATAAGGATCCCAAACCATCCTGCTTTTTTTTAACTTAATTGATATTGTCCATATTGACACCAAGTAATAATAAGAGTTGATACTTGTTCAATTCTTCATGATCTTACTCGATGTCACTAATTTGAATTTTGAACAATGACTCAATATAAATTTTAATACATTAAAACAACAAAACATAAACATTGTTAGAGACAACATTCATTTTGTACCAAAATTATGCAACATTTTAATATAATTGTCATATTACACACTTTAATCGAGTCCCATTAAGAGTATTAACATAGATATCGGGAATTGGGATTTCCAGCAATTACTGTGGTAACATTTCCAACAAAACATTTCTTACAAAAACATAACAGAGCAATTTCAACAAAAACCCAAAAATGAAATCAGAAATACCAAATCAAATTCAAAATAAAAACAATAAACAGACCTTCTTCAATGATCGGCTCCTGAGATTTCGGCTTCGAATCACTAAACACATTCTTAACAACAAAACATCTTCTTGTACCTCTCACAATCATATTTCTATTATTAATAGAAGAAAACAAAATCCTGGAATTATAACAGCCATTTTTGAAGCTGAATTCCATAACTCGAGAAATTGATGAATAATATGAAGAAGAACAATTATATGTTCTTCCAGTTGATGATGATGATAATGGCAATGTCGCCATAATTCACACAAATTACAAACAATCTCACAAAAAAAAAAAAAAAATTGATTATTTTTCTTTCAATTTCAGAGTCACTGAAAGTACAGTCAGTCACTTGTGAATGTTGTTGTAGATTTTATAGAAAAAAAGGTTAGATAGGGACATGGAAATCCGTGATAAATAAATTCAGCTTTCCGAGGCGGACCCCAATGATATATGATATTTCTCTTTGTAATTTGTTGTTATAGAGTCATTACGTTTATGTTTATGATTCTACTTTTACGGAGTACCCTAATTTTAAATGTAACTCATTTCATTTTTAAATAAATACTTCATATTTTTGAGGAAAATTTTTAAATTACCACCTAATTAATGTAATCATTTTCGAACTAACCACTCGTTTAATTTTTTATTTTAAATTACCACCCCTTAAATTAAATAAACGCTTATATTACCACCCATTTCAAAAATCCGGTGGATTTTCCATCTGTGGGCCCAACCTAACGCCTTTTTTTTTTTACCCTTTTGACTGATTTTTTTTCCCCGATTTTACTCTTTAAAAACGTTCTTCTAACTTCAATTCACTTTTTTTTCTTTGAAAATTTGGTAGAATTTGGTGAAGGAAATGTGAATTAAAGTTTAGAGAGCATTTTTAAAAGAGAAAAATCGGGGGAAAAATCAGTCAAAAGGGTCAAAATAAGTGTTATGTAGGGCCTACAGACGGAAAAAATCCACCGGATTTTTGAAATGGGCGGTAATTTGAGCATTTATTTAATTTAAGGGGTGGTGATTTAAAATTAAACAGGTGGTTAGTTCGAAAATAGTTATATTTTTGAGTGATTATTTAAAAATTAACCTTTTTTCATGCGCGGAGTTTGAACTTTGAAGAAATTGGAAAAAGTAATATGAAGGTAATGAGGTTGGTAAAAGAATAAAAAATTAAGGGAAATTCCCATTGGTACCATCCAGGTTTTGGCTTTTCCCAGCTGTACCACATTTTATTTTTGACTTCCTGGTGATACACCCCAGTTTTTGACTTCTTAATTGGCGTGATTAAGTCTGTTAAACAGACGTTAATAAGTTAGTAATTCAGGGTTAATAGGTTAAAAAAAAAGAAAAAGACTAATTTTCCCTCATTTTAAAAATTCCCCTCCATTTTTTCCCACTGATTCTTTCTGTTATTTCCCACCAAAACCCCTTCCTATAAAATGCGCCATTTCTTTTTCCTTTCTCCATTTCATTTCTCCTCCATTGCTGCAGTACTCTTCTTCTCAATATTTTCTTTTTCCTTTTCTCTGACATGGCAGGTATTTCAGGTTCTTCTTCTGGCAGTAGGTAATTGACTCCATTTCGAACCCAGGAAGAACATATTACAAATGCAGGCACTGTGGTTTGTTGATGTGAGTCTCTGAAGATCAATTTATGGGAAACAGAACAGGGAACCAAATGTTGCTGAGTATGCTAATCCGAGAGATTAATTTAACTGAATTTACAGAGAGAGCTTATGAATTTGCAGCCTACATATACATGGTTGTTAGGATTGCTCTTGTCATGTACTTGATTTTACTATTTGTTGCTCTAAAATAAAAGTGGTGTATCCTTTAAATCATGCTATGTAATTGGTAGATTATTACTAGCATTTAAAAGTTGTTTTTTCTGGATGAAGGAATGAGAAATGAAAAAAGAGCTACTTTGTTCTGTTTTATACTTTGTTTACTAAGTAATAAGTACAATAATGCAACAGAACAAGATCAATAACTGAACTCAAATCACAACTTTTAAAATGGCAATAGTTGCTGATTTCATATATCCAAAATGAAGATGATTGCCAAAGTATCCAAAACCAAACTTATGTTCCAAAAAGCATCAGTTACCTACTGTTAGAATAAAGCACTAAAAAAGTTGACTAAACAATCACTTTTCATCTAAAGTGCCAAGATTGTAGCTAAAGTTTCAAAAAACAAAGTTAACTACATAGCAATTGCATCCACAAGTAAGCTTGAGACAGGTTTGCTGGTTGGCTAGGCAACTGTGAATTGAAGCATTCAACTCAGTTGGATAATCAGTGACATGCTTCCCTTTCTTCCTTGACTTAGATGCTGCGGCATCAGATAATGCTTCATTTGCTGCTTTTGCTGCCTTTGCTGCATTTGATTAGTCTCTGACCCTTGGGTTTTTTATGACAACAGGCTCAGATGCCTTCAACTCTTTCCCAGTTAAGCCTCCCTTGCAGGTTGCTTTGTTATGCCCAAAGCAACCACACTTTGAGCATTTGACTGTTTTGCTTCTCTTGCCTGGTTGGACTTCTCCTTCTTCCCTTTTTCTATTCCTACTTGGTCTTCCAATGCCCCTTTTCATCTTAGGTGGCATGATAATTATGCCTGAGTCATCAATAGGCCATTGGTCTGTGTCTGGTATGGGATTAATGCAGCAACTGTATGCTTGCTTGTATGTCTTGACAGAGTACCAAGAACTAACAAAGTCATGTGGGTCCAATTTTGCATCAATTAGGGCCCTAATTGCATGCCTACATGGCACTCCTGAAAGTTGCCATGCACCACAAGAACAAATCTTCTTGTTAAGGCTCAAAGGGAATTGAGATCTGCCCTCATGGATTTCATACTCTCCAGGGCTGGACTTAAAAGCTCTGCAGTTTGAGCTTGCCTTCCCTATCTGTTTCACCAGTTTGACAATTTTTGGGCAAATATCCTCATCTTTCCAAGACCTTGCATTCTCAAGCCTTGTTGCAATTCTTACCATACAGACCCTCCTTATTCCTGCATAGTTGTACATAATTACACATGATGATCAGAATATATTCACATTATCATAAGCACAAAACAAAGTTATGTAAATTTGTTACCTTCTAGCAGAGTTAATACAGGCCTACATCTGTTTACTCCAAGTGTGGAGTTAAAGCTTTCCACAAAATTAGATGTGTTGGTCTCATTGCAGACATTAGGGCTAAATTTGTGCTTACTCTACTTGGACTGTTCTCCCAAGTCAGCAAACCAACACATGACATCATCACCTCCCTCTTTCTTCAGCTTCTCCATAACTTTCCTGAATGTGAAAGCTGAAGTTGCATTGCATGCTCTCCAAAATAAAACATACATCATAGGGCCTGGAAACTTCTTTTTGTAATTCCTACTAAGGTGTCTACAACAGAACCTTCTGTCAGCTTCTGGCCATACATTTTCTAAGGCTAATTCTACTCTCTGAAACAATAATTAACAAGATTAGTATTATGTAATATGCAAATGTTATCATAAACAGCAAAAAATTCAATTTTAACTTCAGTACTTGCCTTTTGCCTATCAGAAATGATAGTCCAATGCTCCCTTGAAGATTCTTTGATCATGTTGCTCAAATGCCAGAAGAAGTAGCTCCATGACTCCTTGTCTTCTTGACTCACAATAGCATAGGCTATGGGAAAGATCTCATTATTGCCATCTATTCCCACATTAGATAACAAAATACCCCCATAATTACCTTTGAGGTGTGTTCCATCTACACCAATCAAAGGCCTAACACCTCTAAGAAGCCCTCTCCACTGTCCAGTGAAGGAAATGAATATACTTGTGAATTGCAGTTGCTTAGGCAGGGATTTAGTTTCTTGCCATGCACAAAATGCTAAAGTTTCTGGGTTTGTCTCAATACACATTTTAGCATACATGGACAACAATGAATAAAATTCATCATGGCCTCCAAAGAGCTGCTCAATTACATAACTCTTTAACCTATACAAAGTAGATTGTCTCATGTAGATTCCATATCTTTGGAATAAAAGTTCATTTAAAGCTTTCCCAGGAATGTCAGGGTTAGTGACAGGGTAAAGTCGTATCCCCTAATCAAAAGTAAATACCTAAATCCTCTAACTAAAGTAGATAGGGAAGTAGGGTCGATCTCCACAGAGAAACAAGTCTTTTTACTCCTAATTAATTATTATAATCTAAATTTTCTAAGTAACCAATATTTATATTTGAATATGAAACTAAACTACAAAGAATAGGAATACGGAGAAAACAATATATAAAAGGATCTAGGGCATAGGTTCACCAATAAATAATACTCCAGGGTAAAAACATAGCAATCAATCATTGACATTGCATAAATAACATGATTAACAGGCTCTCGCAATTTATTAATCAACGTAGACCTAATAGGCTCTCGCAATTTACTAGATCTAAGTCCTTGTTGAAAATAGCCTTTAATATAAAATTAACATCTGCTCGATTCATCAATTTAATATTGCTATACTTTTACAAGCCGCAATTGTAAAACATTAAAACAATTCAATAAGAAATTATCATGCAATATCAATAATCAATAATAGTCAATCATCAATGCATCAATTAACCAGATTGTAAAGGGCTTTCGCTACGTATTACAATCACAGAATTAATCTACCAGTATTAAATCTCATCTCTCGAATCTCGACTTAACCATTTATAAATTAATCTGCCTATTGAAACTAGACCTAAACATTAATTCTCATCTCTCGAATCTTGAATCAATATTGTCAAACTCATGCATAAAAGATAGGCCTAATCTAGTTACATAGCATTAAATCAATCAATAGGAAATTAATCTAGCATTAATAATTAACAACAATAAATTACCCCTTTATATTATTTATTAGATCCCCATAAACCCTAGAAATAAAACTACTCACACATAATTAAATCTAAACTAATCAAATAAATAAATAAAAGCATAATCAAGGAAGCAAATAAAATAACTGAAGTTAAAGGGGAAGAAATTGTTACCAAAAAGTAATCTGGAATTAATGGAAGAATTAAGAACAAAAGTTTAGAGAGAGAATCCTAAGAGAATAATTAAGAGAGTAAAGAAAAAGTAAAAGAGGAGAAGAAGAAGTAATCCTAAAATCGTATTACGGAGGATTATTTATACTCCGTACAAAAGTCCTAAACTAAAACAAATTAAAACGACGCTAATCGTCTACTAAGAAATACACGCGCCCGATCGGGCGAGGCACCGCCCGATCGGGCGCGCCTTTTTTATCATAGTACAAATCTCGCGCCCGGCCGGGCGTGTCACCGGGCGCCAGACTAAGCTTCTCCCGCCCGGCCGGGCGCGCCTCCGGGCGCCAGCCTCTTTGGCCGGGCGGCTCATTTAGGCCACTATTTGGGCTTAGATTGGGCTCCAATTCTTCGGGCCAATCTGGGTTTCCTCTTTAGGTCTTGAATACTCGGTCCAAATGCCCCAGTATCACCTATACCGAGCCCTTAATCACCGTTTCGATGGCTCTAACCGGCCCTGGGCTATTGAATCTGGTCGTGCTTCTCCAATGCTCGTGATTGCTCCAAAATATCTCGGGAAAATACTCCAAAAGCATAAATCCCTGCAAAAGCCAACCAAATCTACGAAAACACTAGAAAACACCAATTAGTAATAAAAGTGGCTCTAAAGAGCCAAAAACACTACTAATTATGACCAAGGGACGGGGGTAAAATACTATTTAAAATAGACACATCAGTTAGCTCTGATGTCTTCCATAACTTTCTGGGAAGCCCACTTGACATTACATATGGGGTTGTATGTCTCTAACCCTCTGCAAGTGTGTACATTGGGCCAAATCTTCTTAATTGCCCAAGTTCTTCCATCTGAAAGCCTGCTTGCATGCAGCCTCCAGTCACAACATTGAGATTGGCACACTGTTGTATACCTCTTGTTGTCAGCATACTCCACATTAATTGCAAATATCTCTTGTACAGCAAAGTCCTTAAGAGTATCCTTAAAGTGTGTCTTATCAGTGAAAATCATCCATGGCCTTAACACTATCTTCCCAAAATCAGCATCCTCATACATCTCTCCATTCTTGTAAAGTCTCTTAAAGTAATCCTCATCATCTTCATCATCTAAAAACTCAAACCATTTACCAGGTTTCCGGTTATCCTTGATTTTAGGAATCCTTTGAAGCTGAACCAATTCATCTGCAGGAACATCACCCTTTGGTGCTACTTCTCCTTCATTATCTTCATCTGAATCACTTTGCACCACAAACTCCATTTTTCTTCTAACTTTTGAACCAGTCTTAGGTCCCTCCACCTGACTCTCATTTAAACTCAAACTATTGCCTCCCTCCTGACTCTCATTCAAACCAGATGAATCACTCTGAACAACAAAGTCCATTTTCCTTCTCCCCTTGAAACCAAAACTAGGGTCCTCAACTTCTGTCTCAGTCACACCAATTCTAAGTTCCTCCACCTGACTAGACTCCAAATTAGAACCTACACCAAGCATTCTTCTCTCATTGACAGTACTGCCAACCCTTACCCCTTTCCTATATGTTGTGGTTCTAGGAAGGTTTATAGCAAAAACAGAGATCTGAGATGAATTACTTAATGGTTCAACATTGGGAGCAGCTGTCTCAGTGACTGGAATAGGTGAAAATCTAGGGCTTCTTCTCAAAGTTAAGGTCTTGAACACAGTATTTGGTGACCTAGGTGATGGTGGTTGCATTGGGGTTGATTTGGTGGCAGCACTCTTCTTACTCTTTGTAGCCTTAGCCTTCTTTGACTTTTCTATCCTCTCCATAGTCTTCTCAAACTTAATTCTACCCTTTGTGTACTCAGCATCATTAGGTTGGACACTTGGTTCATCTATTGGTGAATTGACATCAGCATACCTAGGTGGAGAAGACTCAGTTACAAATAAATCTTCCAAGGAAGGCTGAGAGGGTTCAGTTTGAGAGGGTTCAGTTTGAGAGGGTTCAGTTTGTGATGGTTCTGTTTGTGATGGTTCTGTTTGTGATGGTTCTGTTTGTGATGGTTCTATTTGGGAGGGTTCTGTTTGGGAGGGTTCTGTTTGTGATGGTTCTATTTGGGAGGGTTCTGTTTGGGAGGGTTCAGTTTGGGGTGGATCAACAAGGGGTGGAATAGTTTGAGTTTTCCTTAACTTCTGGGTCATTTTATTCAAGACACTTGGTTTCTTGCCACACCCAACCCAAATGTGATACACATCACACTCATCTAGGGCATGAATCATCTTAAAAAAATCAGCATCATCTAGTAATGGGATATGCTTTTCTTTGTGACCATAACCATAGGAAGGGTTGATTAATGGATACTCAGTGTCTACTACATCACTGTCCTCAAATTCCATAACCAAGTCCATCAAATTACATCTATCTAAGTCAACCCCAATATCAACATGTTTATTCAAGTGATGAAATCTTATCACAACATCACCCATTCTGCAAAATAAGGTAAACAATGTACACACTTACAACATGCAAAAAAATTCCAATTCAATCAAACATGATCAAGGCATTTCATTCAATTTCATTCCATACTCTAAACCAATATTTGATCAAACATAATCACACATCAAATATATATGAAATAACCCTAAATTCGCACAAATAAACAACATTTAAATCATGAAATAAACCTAAATTCGCATACAAAAACAGAATATCAATCAAAAGCACCAAATCATGCATAAATGAACAGTAGTAGTACTAATATACCTGAATTATGCTCAGATTTCCCCCTGTTAGCTATGTAGACCAACCAAATTTGCGAATTTCCCTTGACCCTAGGAATTCTTCGTGAATTTACCAGAGCAAAGGAGAGAGAGAGAAGAAATTTGAATGAAATGGTTTTATGTCCAATCGACATAAATGGAAGGGGAAGAGGTTTAATTATGGATGTTGGAGGGAAGGTTTTAAAAAGGGGGCATTTTAGTCATTTCATATTTTTAACCCTAAATCACCTATTAACCCAGAATTACTAACTTATTAACGTCTGTTTAACAGACTTAATCACGCCAGTTAAGAAGTCAAAAACTGGGGTGCATCACCAGGAAGTCAAAAATAAAATGTGATACCGCTGGGAAAAGCCAAAACCTGGATGGTACCAATGGGAATTTCCCAAAAATTAATTATGATTTATTTGGAACCACTAACTAAGAAAAATAAATTAAATATTATAAAATCTTTCCAAATAAGGAAACGGAACAAGTGTTTAAAAACGGCTGAAATAGACAATGGAACATATATTTAAAAGGGAGAGTAGTATATCTTTATTACTTTCACCGTATATACAGCTAATACAAGCTTTAATATGAGGATTCCCTTACCTCCTCTACTCTCAAGTGATTGGCTAACATATAAAATATATTTTTTATTAAAAGTAAAAAATTATTATTTAAAATATGCATTAATTATCTTGCGTGATAAGATTTCCAAAAAAGAAAATTGGGCAAGTAAAGAAACCGGAGCAAGGAATAAAATAGGTATTAATTAGCAAAAAATAGTATCGGAGTATTTAATTAAAAGTATTTAGACATGGTTTATCAAAAAAAAAAAGTATTTAGACATGGCCACCTCACATTAAAAAATTACTGAAATTTTTTAAATTACTTGATGTCAAAAAAACAATCTATACCTGTCTCAAGTATCAATCAATTAAACATATTAGCCAGAGCCTCACAGTGCACCAAGTAAATTGGATTGCCAGTTCAGTGATTCAGTGGTAAGAAGTCACTGTGAAAGCAATTAAGAATCCAAACCGTTGCAACAGTTTCAAACACAAGTTCTTAGAAGAAGCAAGTTTAAGTGTTTAACTAGGATTGTTTTTCTTCTCTTAAATTGACGGAAAAATGCTTCAAAGATCAACCATCAACTGTGGTTGATACTCCAGCAAATTGAGCTAACCCTCAAGGTACAAAACTAATTATTGTCATTCATAAAATACTTATAAAAAGAGTGTTATAATGCATTTTACATGAATTCTCCAAAAATTGTAATGAATGAGAATAGTATGAATCAGCCAGATTCACGTCACAGAGCGATTGGATAAAGATCTAACAGTAATGGCTGCCAGCTGATGTAAAATCCTCTCCTTCAAATATAAGCAAACTCTCTTCATAAGTGAGATTCATGACGATGAGAGCCAGCATGAAATCCTTCTGTATAAGCCGTACTCTTATAAAGCATCTGTAGAAAGAAAGAAAGAAATCCCTTGCAATAAGTTTGAATGAATCAGAGATGTTTCCGACTAACTGATGCATAAACAGACTGTGTGAAGGATTAACCGGTATGCACTTATTGGCGAAAAATTATTTTGAAGAGATGATATGATAAACAAGCAGCACGAATAATCAACTGATGTAAGTGCACTTCATAGCGCGCCTGGGTTTTCTCACCAAATGAATGCCAATAACAACTTACTGATGTGGAAATAAGAATCTAACAGCAAATAGCATATATGCTTTTGAAGGAAATATTATGAACCATTATGGTAGATCTAGACTCCCGCCTTCAGATGTATTCAGTCAAATTTACATCAGACTTAACAAAAAAAATAGTATGCATGCATTTTTGCTCTTGAAATCTTTTCAGCACTTTGAATTAGACACACAACAATTAAAGTAAATTAAGGGGGAATATGATATAGTAGTATTAACAAACCAAAGGTGACCAACTTCAAAGTCACAATACATGACATAAAGAGATAAAGAGAGAGATAAGTCATAGGAGATAACTTACAGCTAGGTGGCTCAGCTCTGAGGAAAGACGTTTTCGGATATTGTCAGATGCTACAGCTCCAAGCTGTTCGCCATGCGTTGATATTGTCTCCTTGTTAATCTTAATAATGAAGACATTAAGTTTGAATCCAATATAATCTTTCTATGATGTATTGATTGATGTATTGTTAAATCAGAAAGTACTCACCTCAGAAAGTATTAGCGCAGAAGTTCTATCCAATATTTCATCCACAAAAAGCTGGGGATTAGAAAAAGGTGTGGATGCAGCTGCATTTGCAGTTTTACCTTTTGCAGGCATGTTCTTTACAATTTTCTCCGCAGCAGGCTTCTTTACAGGATTGCCTAAATCAAAAAACATTAAATAAAAAGCTAATTTAGAAACAAAAATAAAAATACAAAGATCATATGGCTTTTATTCCTAACACACGGGTAAATTAATATTTTTTTAAAAAAAATAAAAATTAAAAAAACCTACTACCATAAAAAGTCAATAGCAATACATGTCAAAATGACACGCGTAAGCATTAGTTGGCAATTAAGCATTAGTTGGCAATGATATGGTCTCTCTCTCTCTCTCTCTCTCTCTCTCTCTCTCTCTCTCTCTAAAGCTGAACGCGCATAAAAATAATTTCCGAGGAAAAAAAAAGCAAATTTTAATTAGAATATAATACGTACATCACAATTGAGCCAAAACAAAATCGCACATTTAGTTCAATATATTGCAATTTGTTCAATATGCACATGAAATGACCTAAGGCATTCCCCAAGCCAATAAATAAGTACGTAGTAGTTCTAATATTCATCTAAATTTTCCTGCTTTAATACACCGCATTTTCGAAAGGCTAGAAAACAAGCTAAACAAAAAATTCTGGAGTGCAGGATAACTTTATGTCAACTAAGGTAGAACTTTATCAATCTTCAAGTTTGATTTTCAGTTTTTTATCTAAAACACACCTCAAATTTAACTTTATTTTTAATCTTTCCAAGCATTTTACTTAGCTTTTTACACATATCAATTGGCAAGTCCCAAGTCAAGATATTACTTGCTCGGTGATATTGCAATATCCTAGAGTGATTGTTCATCATTGACGTGGTCTCAATGTGCTTGATTTTTACACAAAAAATTCTTGAGTGCAGGATAACTTTATATCAACTAAGTTAGAACTTTATCAATCTTCAAGTTTGATTTTCAGTTTTTTATCTAAAACACACCTCAAATTTAACTTTATTTTTAATCTTTCCAAGCATTATACTTAGCTTTTTACACATATCAATTGGCAAGTCCCAAGTCAAGATATTACTTGCTCAGTGATATTGCAATATCCTAGAGTGATTGTTCATCATTAATGTGGTCTCAATGTGCTTGATTTTTACAAGTTGTCCTACGTGGGTAAATTAGCTGTTGAAATTTTCTCATCTCAATTGAATCACTTCAAAAACTGCCAATTAGCCTGCTCCCATACTTCATAAAACAATTATGCTCCCATTCCTGATTTAGGTGAATTTTTATGGCTTCAGATTTATAACAGAATTAAAGCATAGATAAAATTGCTAATTTGTCTAACTCATAAGTAATTTCGGAAAACAAAAAAAAAACAAAAAAAAAAAAAAAGATCCCTAAGGATTTCAGATTTCTTTGATTTGTAAGCCATTTCCTCCACCATGCCTTTATCAAAGTATCTGAGTTTGGAATATGTAAATTGCAAGTCTACTATTTGGTATCAGAGTTAGCCCAATTATCTATATTTTGATGATGCCTTAACATTTTGTACAAGCACAAGTTCCAATCTAGGGGAAAAAAGATTATGAAGATTAATTCATCCAAATGTAAGGTTTATTTTGATCAAAAAACATATGGAGATTGTGAAGATTGAAAAATGACCTTTGAGGTAATCTAAAAAGATAACGAAAGCATTGGCTTCACAAGTTCATGTTGAGGTAGCTGTCCAACTTGATAAAATTTCACACAAGATAAACAAGCATTGGATTAAGGAGCAAAGAGGTAGGCAAAACAGAGGTGGTAGGTGTGGCATGGTAAAGACTGCGAATACTTAAAGCCAAATGACATGAGATCTGGTAATGAAAGAGGATCCATAGCAGGAAGACCCTCAGCATTGAAAAACCCCATTAAATGTTTCAATTGAAAAAACAAAAAAAAATACATCTAAATCTTGAAGAAGCAAGAGCAAGTCATCTGAATTTTTCAGAACTAGCTAACACAGGTAGCCAGTTACCAACAAAACGCTAGTCAATTTTCACAAAGAACTCTCCACCAATATAAAGTTTAAAGAGACAAGAATTACCTGTGACAAGGTCACTATTTGCAGGTTGACTTTTCTGGGGAGCAGGTTCTGTGGAGGCTGCTTTTGCAGCAGCTTCAGGTACAGCAATGGCATTAGATGGTGCAAACGCAGCCAAATCAGGAGGTTGGTCCTTGCCAACAGGAGGATTAGCCTACATTCAAACACAGTGTAGCTTAGCTTAGCCAAAAAGTATCACTCTGATTCACCAACATAACCAACCAAAAGCATGAAATGCATTGTGTTCTAACCTCGAGATCAACATATGCAGGTTCTCTTCCTAATGATTTCAGAAACTTGTCCAGGCCATCAGTAGAAAGAGCTATCACAAGTAGTAACAGACACATCATGAAGAAACTCACATATCATACGATGGCCAACATGTAAAACACTCAAAAACCCCCCATGCATATTAGTATTTTATTATTCCCAATAAAACAAAAAAAGGAATGAGAATGAAACACTACTACACTATGCCGTTCCAAAGAACTGTGCACATGAACGAACCTTCCTACGTACCTATAGACATGTCATTAGATAATGGGTGAAACATAATGCGCCTCTGAGTTCTCAAACCTTGATCCAATAACAACGAGACGTGCCTTCACAAAAAAAAATACAAAAATAAATAAATAAATATATTTATTTATAAATAAATATAAATATTCTTCAAAAAAAATATATATATATATATATATATTATATACTACCTCCGTTAACGGTTATTTGCAACAAAGGGGTCATGCGCGGACTCCTAGGCAAAACTTTTAAAGTATGATTATTGAAAAATAAGGACACTTGGTTAAGTATTAATCCTAACTAGAAAAAGCAATTAAACAAAACCCATAATCACCTAAACTCAGAACCACTTAACCCAGAAAAAACACCACCGACAACCACCAGAACCACCAAACCCGCCAAACCCACCGACAACCACCAGAACAACCAAACCCACCAAACCCACCGGAACAACCAAACCCACCGACACTCAGAACCCAAAACCACCACCGAAACCCACCAACAAAACCCAACCACCACCAAAACCACCGAAACCCCACCACAAACCCACTCCAAACCACCGAAAGTCCAAAACCCAACCACGAACCCACCCAAAACCACTGAAACCTAACCCACGAACCCAAAACCACCGAACCCCTGCTCCCACAAACCCAGCCAAAACCACCGAAACCCCACCACAAACCCAATCACCACCAAAACCACCGAAATCCCACCACAAATCCAATCACCACCAAAACCACCGAAATCCCACCACAAACCAGCCAATACCACCGCAACCCCACTACAAACCCAACCACCACCACAACCACCGAAATCCCACCACAAACCCAACCAATACCACCGAAAACCCACCACAAACCCAACCACCACCAAAACCACCGAAACCCCACCACAAACCCAGGCAAAACTACCAAAACCCAACCACGAACTCAACCACCACTAAAACCACCGAAATCCAAGCAAACCCACCCACAAATGACCCCAACAAACCTGCAAATCCACCCATAAGCCACCAAATTCAACCACAAATCAAGCAAACCACCGACAAGATCTGAAACCAACAGGTAAGATAGTTTGGAACTTGAAGAGAGATGAGAGTTGAAGATGAAGATGAAATTAGAGATGGAGGAGAGAGAGAAAGATGATACGAGAGATGAAGGAGGAGAGAGAGATAATTAATTTAGATTAAGGTTATAATGTTTTTCTAATTAAGTGTAGTATTATGTGCTAATAAGTTTTAAATAAGGGTATTTTGGTCATTTAGATAGAAAAAAGTTACTAAAATAGAAAGAAATAAGTTTGTTGCAAATAATAGATAGTGCCCATTTTTAGTAAATGTTGCAAATAACTGTTAACGGAGGTAATATATATATATATATATATAAAGGTTGAGTTTTTGAATTGTGCTTATACAAAATGAGTTGTGCAATGAAATATTCAGCATTTGATCCAAAAACAAATGCCACTACTTGTTCTCATATCTATTTAACCGGACGGGAAAGTTGCCAAAATTTCAAAGAATTGTCAGTATTATACATTACAAAAAGTAGTTTAATATGTGGTATCTGGTTTGAGTACAGGATATGAGAAGGCTACCTATACCTAATATGATGGGCCTTTTATGGGTCTGGCACATATCATTACATTTTTTTGCACACAAATATATAAAGAACGACTATTATTGACAAATATACTGGTACATAATTGAAATTTTATTTTAGTTTTCTGCTGTATTTAACCAAACCACTTACAGTTGAATGTTCACTCAGGCTAGTCGGCACCCCCCCCCCCACCAATAAAAATAAAAATAAAAAAAAAAAAAAAGAAAGAAAAAGAAGTCCTAAAAAAAAAAAAAAAAAAACACTGCTCTGTTAAGCAATAATAAGGAAATTAATAGAGCTAAGCTGCCTTAGCTTCTTAGAGAGGGAGAAAAGTGGCAGACAGAAGACACTGAAATTAACAGTCTTCCATAGCTGCTAGCTGTAAAATTTAATCTACAGAAATCCAGATGACTCCTGCCACCCAAGATATTATCCCAACATATCAATTATCAAGTATGCCTGCGACAAACAAGTTGAATTCAAGTATTCAGCAAGCATGTAGGTCAACTTGATTTTTTTTTCAGCAACCAAAAGCCCAATGCATTAACATTGATCCTTCTTATCACTCCATTTTATTATTTAGGTCTAGGCGTTTTCAACCTAAAGTCCTAAACCCTGGATCAGAAATTTTTCTTGATTTCTTATCAAAGTAAACTTTAGTTTGTAGGATTTTTTGTGGACACATTCACATACAATGGATTGATAGGTTTAGCAAACACAACAATGTCACATAATGACCTCGAGCACAAATGACCAGCATTATGGACATGCAACCTGTTCAATTTCCTTCCAAGTTCCAACAAACTGACTTAACTATATCACCATACCTGAGACGTTAATGGAATAAAATGTGCTTAACATAACACTTCATTTTCTTTAGTTACAACACTTCCCTTTTTTTGGAAGCAACATTCTTTTCTTGACATATGGCTTCTCTCTCGGACATCACATGGGTGAATCTCTCCCTGTATCTCACCTCCCCCCCCCCCCCTCCATATGATATGGAGACCATATGTTGTAAATTATAAAAATAAAAATGCAATATATGAATTTAATGAAAAGGGCAATGCAGACAAAGCGACCATAGTCATCAGCTAAATTAAGTGATTAGATAAGGCTTAAATCCTTGCAATTTAAACATAATAAATGGGAAATAATTGGGAATGAGCCTTTCAAATAGCTCACCAAGTACAAAGGATATTGCATTTAAATATCCCAATGAAACAAGACAAAAACTATACCTTGCAGATTCATTCACTACTGCAAATGGAGTTACACAACCCAGTGGCACCTGGAAAAGCCCAGAAAACATTAGTGCCAAGGTCCTTACCCAAATTATAGTATAGTACAACTGTATAACATATAGAACTAACAGTTAAAACTGGCCAACAATGGCATGTTCCTCTCTGTCCAAATTGATTTCATACTTCTTATTGGGGCAATCTCAAAAAATTGTCTTATGACTTACGACAAAGTATAACATTCAACGATACTAAAAAATAATGAAAACATTATGCAACAGAAACCTGACTATAGGTCTACATGCAGACACCCACCTGAAGTACTTCACCTAAGGCTTCTTCAGGCGCCATTCTTAAGCCTCCTTTGCCCAAACCAAGTCTCACAGATAAAACTGCTCAGCTTTGAAGCATGAATACTTTCATAAATAGCACAAAATTCAAAAAGAAGCATTTTAGCAACAATATAAAACCTATGTGATGGCTACATCGGAAACACATACCTTTCATGTCTACTTTGGTTTCTGCTAGGGCAGAAATTATGTAATATCTATGTTTTTTGTCCTGAAAGTACCATTAAAACAAATAATGAAAACCCACATCACCATTATTAAGTATAATAGGGAAAAGGGGGTAAACACACACACACACACACACACACACACACACACACACACACACACACACACACACACACAATTTACCTTCAGAAACAAATTTTTGCAAAAAGCACCATCCACATTAGCAAGATATTTCAGCTGAAGCAAAGAAAAACCATATTAGTACCCCATTATAATTACACAGAAATACAATTGCAAAAACGGATTTTAAAACATACCGCTGCTTCCACCGTTAGAACCACAGGATGCTCATATTTCTCAAATTCAATTTGAAGTTCCTGTAAACCCCACCATTAATTTCACTTAAATATAATTGTAATACGAAAGTAATTTATAATAACACATCTATTAGTATTGTTTCTAAAGTTATCATCAATACATAATTAAATACATGAATCAAAATTTGATCTTGAATAAGCAAGCATCTTAAATTATACATAATCACTAACTTGCAACATCAAAAAGATTTCAAATTAAGACATTGAAAGATTAATTACTACAATATCCAATGATTTCATTCAATTTGATTGTAAAAAGAGCAAATGTGATAGAATAAAACCTTCAAGCGTTCCAGGAGCTGTTCCTTGGTATAACCCATGTTTCGCCTCAACAACGTCGGAGCTAATCAACACTTCTGAATAAATTTCAACGATGAATACAGAAGTACAAACTAAACAAGATTGAAATTTGAGTATAAAAGAGTGAACAGCATATCTTAAAACCCTAATTTATAATCCAATACCAACATAACTTTAATTATATTACTGTATCATATAAAAAATAAATCCAATTATAGATTACAACTATAATTAGCGACTGTTGAATTGCATAATCAACCAATAAGCACGGACATACATTTTCAGCTGTAGTATTAGCATGTGAAGGTGTTGAATTAAACAATTTAGGGTTAAATTGTAGAGAATAGAGAAGAAATCAAAAGATAATAGATTAGGGTTTGATTGTAGTAAAGGAATCAAAGGATGATAAAATAGAGATTAATGGTGTCTTACCAGTTGCAGTGGCGGAGGTCGAAGGAACTCAAGGGGAAAGGTAAACGCAGTTTGTATAGTTCACCCGAGTGTAAAATTGTAGTGTTCACTTCACCTTAATAATACAGGGTAAGAAACACACAAATGCATGTGATAGAAAATTAATTAGGCTATATTTTCATCTTTATTCTATAAAAAACGATAAATATTTGTTGGTGTAAATTTAAAAGCCGATAATATATATATATATATATACTAGTACGTACCCCAGGCGATGCCCCGAGTTCTCTCCGCAATATATATCTTTATGTTTTAAAAATCCTTACATTAATTCGCTACTTATAAAGACGGGTTAAAGTTGTGTTAAAAGTATTTAAAAGTTATAATTATTTATCTTATGCGTGTCACACTAATTCATATTTGTTGTTTACCTGACGTGGCACTTGGCGAAAAATCAAAATGTCAAGTTTTGTTTTGGTTGATTAAAGTGTATCATAAATAAGTCCTGATTTGTACAACTTTATAAATTTTATGATATAAATTTAATTTAACATATTTATAAGATATATTTTTAAAGTTACAATCTACTTATTCATATGGAAAATTAGAAGGCCTATCAGAAATAAAACTATAAATAACTTTTTTTATCTGAAATAAAACTCTAAATAACTTTTTTATCTTAAAAAAATCTATCTTAAATTCTCTTATCTAGCGTTAGAGGTGTCATACTAAATCTTATATGTCGTCTATGTGGCACGACATTTGGCGAAAAGTTAAAGTGCCAAGTGTCGTTGTCGTGACCTGGCTAAAAGTTTAGGTTTATATATATATACTAGTTTTGTGCCCGTGCGATGCCCGGGTTGTTTATTAAATTTTAAGATAAATTTTTAATCTATGTGTCAAATTTTAAAACATATCATTGATACAAAATTAGTTAGGAATTAATGTGTTTTTGTGATGATTTAAACTATATAGTAGGCATGTAATGACTAATAATAATAACATTGGTGAAAAACATTTGTTGATCCTTAAACTGAAATAATGACCCTGTCCGATATGACTTGTGACCCGACTCGATTGATAGGTCTACACACAGTAATAAAATTATATTAGATTGTAAAGTATGTTGTTTTAATTGATTAGAATATATTATAAATAATGGATGTGGTGCACTTTGAGCTAATTCCTTCGCTCCAAAATAAATACTATGATACAAAAAATAAATTTATATGATAATTTATGAGTGTTATAATTTATTTTTTTTAATAAAATTATAATTTAATTTGTACATATGAATATTGTTACTTTATCGAAAATTCAACTCTAAATTAACAATTTTATCCTAAAATTTTATCCAAATTTGATTGAAAATAGAATTCTAAATTAATTTTTTTATCCTACAAATTGAATTCAATATAATTCTATCCTACGTGGCGCGACACTTGGCGAAAAATTGGAACGCCAAGTGTCGCTATCTCGTCGTCTGGCAAAAAATTTAGATTTATATATTAGTTATATGATTAGTGTAGACACCTAAAAATGTCTCCCCAAAAACCAAAATCGATGATGAACAACCTTTCACCGCTACTATTGGTCGGGTTCAGTATTTAATCCCGAGAGTGCTTAAAAAATCGTATTTAATTAAATTTAATTTTTGAATATTCCATAGATCAGTCTTGATGTTTGGTCAAAGCATAGTTTTTTTAATTTCAGCCCAAACTTTTTTTTTATTGTTTTATTATTTATTTTGGCCCAAACCTTTTATTTATTTTATTTACTTTTTTTAGCCCAAATAATAATAAATCAGAAATGGCCCGAAATTATCAAGACACTTAAAATGTTAAATGAAATTAGGGTTAAAAATGAATTTAGACGAAAAAACGAACTAAAAACTCTCGCGTCACGGCAATAGTCCACCGTGTCACGGGAAACTGTCTCGTCTGACGGTGGGATTCCCCGTGACACGGGGCACCTACTGTGACACGGGGGTTTCTGTGTCCTTTCCGCGTAAACCCTTAACGCGTTTTCTCCCCCGTTCACTAAATATTTCCCGCGTCACACAGCTGTACACCGTGTCACGGGAATGTTTACCGCCTGACGGTGGGATTTCCCGTGTCACGGTACACTTTGCCGTGTCACGGTATACTTTTTTAGGGTTTTTATCTTTTTAGGGTTCCGTGTGTTCCCTCAGCACATTTTTTCTATAAATACCCCCTCATTTCTGATGTACGGGGCATCAATTAATTCTCTATTTTTCTCTCTTCAATGCTCTAGCCTAAACATTAGCCTACCCTTCTTCTTTCAAAATTCCTTTTTCAAGCACTCCAAGGAGTCTATACTTTACTCGTGGTTCTGTCCTTAAGCCAAGGCGTGAAAGGTAGAACTGTTTGAGGGTTTGACCCCAAATCAACTCTATTTAATTTAATTTGATTTAATTATTGTTTTATTATTATTTCCTTGAAGTTACTAACTTGTTTATTATTTTATAGTTGCAAGCAAACAGAATCAAAGTAAGAATTATGTTCCTTTTATTTCTATTATTTTTTTAACGATTTTATATTGTTGGAAATATTGTTAAATTGCTTCCAATATTAATGTTTATTCTATTATATTTATTGATCACCATATTGCATGTTTAAAGGGAATATGTAATTGAAAATCACGCCTAATAAGAGAATTTGGACAACCGGTTTAAGTTCCTTTTTAATCTTGTTATTAAATCAAGTGATCGCAATATATTAAAATTATATGTTGCATTAATATTAAACCAATTTAGCTTAATAATAGTTTGGAGCAAATTGAATATTTTGTTTGTATGCCTTTGTGATCACAGGAAAACTTTTCACTATAAGAATCGAGTAGAGGCCAATACGGGTGAATGTGACTCCATGACTCACTTCGTACCATCATCCCTGATCCTCCTTTCGTGGTTCCGAACCATATGGAGTTAGTAATCTCATGGATTATGAATGGGGTGTAACCTTCACGGGTCAATCGTTGTTGCCTTCGTTGTCCCTTTATCGTGGTTGCCTTTTATGATCCGTGAACGATTTACATGTTCCTTAAAAACTTGTTGGCGGCTCCCTACTTTATTTGTCCCTAATCATGTTAAGTCGATTCCCACTTCCTATGAGTGCCAAGCATATTCACACATGCTTTAACGTATGCGCACTTCGAGCGGCGCCTACAATTAGTAATAAAAAATTATGAAAAAAAAGTTGATGAACTTATGGAATATCTTTTTATTGTTTTAAAAAAATTAAAGCCTTCGCAATCTATTAATTTAGCTTAAATTTGAACCTTTGAAACAAATTCCTGTGTAAAAGTACAAAAAAAAAAACAAATCTAATCAAAAGTAGTTTCCCAACAAAATAAAAATTAAGAGCAATTTCAAATATTATAGGGAGTGGGAGTAGTTTTTTTTTAAAAAAAAAAACAAAAGGATGAGTGAGAGCAGTTATGATAAGGTAATTACTTATAGTATTTTATAAAAAAATAATTTTAATTTTTTAGGGCTTGTTTGGCATCATTTTTGGTTTTTAGTTTCCTGTTTTTTGAAAACTAAAAACCAAAAACAGGAAACAAAAAAAGGTGTTTCCACTTTTTTGTTGTCAATTTTCAAAATTATTATGATTTTAATAAGTTTAAATAATTTTTTATTCATTATGTGACATATATCATACTTCCTCCGTTTTCTTTTACTTGCAACACTTTCCTAAAAAGGAAATGTCACAATACTTGCAACACACTATAAAAGGAAAGTTACTTTAGGAAAAATATACTATTTTCATTATTTAAAACATATGACCCACTAAATTACACTCCTAACAACCACTCATCCCATTTTAAAGTGTATTATATCATGTGAACCCCACATTTCTTAAATACTGTGAAAAAGTTTGTGTTGCATCTAAAAAAAATGGAGGAAGTATATTTTTATACAATAAAAAACCAAAAAACAGGAAAACCACAACAATGTCAAACAAACCCTTAATTTTTTATTTTAATTGTGAATAAAAGAGGTAATATTGAAAATTGAGAAGGGCAATTTGGGGGTAGTGAATTTTATCACCCAAAAAGCCCTTTCTCTTTATATATTACTATAGATACTCCGTACTACAGAATTCAGTAAAAATAATTTTATTTCAATAAAATTAAGGGAAAAATTGTCATAAATAAAGGAAAAAATTTAAATTACCACCCTAAAATGTATTCATTTTCTAAATAGCCACCTTTTTAATTTTTTATTTTATTTTACCACCCTTAAATTAAAAACTGCTCAGATTACCACCCATTTCAAAATTTCGGTGGAGTTTTCTTATGTGGGCCCCACCTAACGACTCTTAGTGGTGACAGGAAGAAGATGATCAGTAGTAGTGGCAATTCAGACAACAAGCTCTTGTTTTTTTAGTTGTTTTCTTTAGGTTTAAGGTTGTCTTGTACTCAATAAATTGGTTTAAGGGGGAGGTGGAATGATGACATGGATGATTGTAATGCTTAGACATAGCCGTTACTAGCTATTAGGTGGGTCCTCATAACCAAAATCCATCGGAATTTTAAAATGGGTGGTAATCTGAGTAGTTTTTTAAATTTAAGGGGTGGTAAAATAAAATAAAAATTAAACAGGTGGTTATTTTGAAAATGGATATATTTTCGGGTGGTAATATAAAAAATTTCCTAAATAAAACGACCTTTCAACGGTCTTCCAAAAATAAAACGACATTTTGATTATCCCGGACCTTTGACATGAATCTGCTCATAATAGGATGTAACATGTTGGTAACCTATTTAATAGGTTAATTGTGACATGTGTCATAATGTGATTGGTCAATTTTTTTATTTTTACATTTTCCTTTATTTATAAGAAAAACATTTTCTTTTAAAAAAACTAATTTTATTAAAAAAAAATCATCAGCCCTTCTCCACCCACAAGCCCACCACCAACCCGTAACCCATCCTCTCCACCCAAAAGCAAGCGCAACCAAAACCTGACCTTCATCCACCACCGGCACCAAAATCCACCAGCGGGCCTCGCACCCCCGACAGCCCAAGCGAATCCGATCCCACCCCACCATTCCGACCGAAACCCCCATCTTAGACTTCCACCACGAGCTCCAATTGCAAACACAATCACCGACAACATAAAACAACCGCCGAATCACCACTAGAATCG